TTCTCCTTGATTACTTAGTTCACAATACACAAATATATTTTCAATGTCCAAGTTAATTTAGGATGTGCTGAGCCTTTCAAGTTGGAGGAATGTATCCTTATGAGGACCAAAGGTAGGACCCTGACAGGTGATTGTCCAGATAGTCAGCTGTGATTGTATCATATGAAAGGAGACCAGGTAACTCACCTCGTAGTACTACCTTCCTCCTGGCTTTCTGGAAAACCCATTCTGTTTATTCTAGAAGCTTTACAAGAAATTCTGTATTTTTCATCCTTCAGGCACAAACTGGCTAACTCAAATCTTAACTGACCTGGTAACCGTATCTCAAAAGAAAACACAGGATAGAGAAGGCATTGCGAATTATGAACTAGAAGAATTCCCCTACCTTGAAGTTGGAGATGCTGAGAAATATGAGGTGGGAACAGAATATGTATGAAAATTATTTAAATTACATGCTTCAAATACTGAGAATACGGGGTGTGAAATATTCCCCTGTTTGTAAAGAAGTCTCCCACTTTTCTGTATGTGACATCTGGTCAGGATGAATCTTGTCTGGATTGTCAAATGGTGAGGGATAAATGAACACTTCAATGAGTGTGACGGGAGCACTTATCCATTAGATACACAAGAACTGCAGAAATTCAGCATAACATCTTTTGTATTTAAGAAGAAGTTCAAGAAATATCAAAGAATGAAATATTAGCTTTTATCTCTTTTACTAGCTCTTTCTCCTTACCCCTTCTTTCAGTGCTTGAGATCCTTCAGCTTTCACAAATACCCAGTTAGAGTCTGTATCTTAACTTTAGATTTGATCTCTTGTCTAACACACCATGTTAAGTTCATTATCACTGAAGAGACTAATGATGTATGATCCTTCTGTAGTCACTCATTGTCGGGGGTTTTTGAAGGTTAGAGCTACTCACAGCAGCCCACTAATATCTCAGGGTAACACATATGTACACAAAAAAGTACCTTTGTCAGCCAGTATGTGTTGATAAGTTTAGCAAGGCAACATTTTAGAATCACCTGATGAAAAGAATACTTGTACTAACTGAACTGTCCACTCTCCTCCTTCCACTTCGTAAAGAGAATGACCAAATTACCTTCTCCAAGATTTATGGTTACTCATCTCCGTCCTGAAAACCTTCCCAAGTCTATCTTCAAAAATAAAGTCAAGGTGAGTGCTGATTTTAATGTCTTTCAACCAATTTTCAGAGTCACTCTTGCGTGTTTAGCCTGGCCATTTCTACATGCCTGTTTAAGTTCTGCCATTCATCTCACTTAACCTCCATTCATCCTTCTTGGCATCTTCGTCTCCATAAGGGAGTTGCAGGGCTTGAACAAATCCTCCAGAGGCAAAATGCGCTTTGACGCAATTTCCCATGGGGGACATTTTGTGGTGTTGTCACAAGTGGGTGTTTCAGCATTTCAAACTTTCGAGAAAAGTTGTATTTTTGTGATTTTTCCCTGTTACCTAAATGGCGAATTATGCTTGTATTGAGCAAAACTTAGTTAGATTCTGCATAATTAATTTGGTTACTCTGTACAAGATACTTTAATAATTATAGGCAATCACCTTCACATGGTGCCAAAGCAAAGTTAAATACTTCCCTGCTGAATTTGGAATGAAATTGCTATGTCTACAAGTAGCATACTAGATATTAGAAATTTCCCAATTGTAGTTATAAAGTATATTATTGTATTGTTTTCATGCTTTAGTCTGTTACATCTTTCTGTACAATTATTTTTTTTTCTAGATATTGTTACTGATTCGTAACCCAAAGGATGTAGCAACATCTTATTACCATTTTTCCAATGGCCTGGCTAGTGCTCCCTCCTACGAGACCTGGGATGATTTTTTCACAGATTTCATGTCAAAGAGAAGTACAGTATATTATTCCGTTTCTGTCAATTATTCAGTACTTTGTTTCAAAAAGCTTGCACTTCAGCAAATCCACATCATTAGGATTTTTTTGGTTTACAGTACAAAAGCAGAGATTAAAGACCAAAAGTTAGGCCTTTGCACTTAAGTTTACCATATTTGTCTTACTGCTAGAGGATGAATCTCTGTCAAAGCTGCAGTTCCACAAACTGCTTTACCTTGCACAAACTGATATTTTTTCTAGAAGAAGTAGTTCTCCCTTATCTCTGTCCTGGATCCCCTTCACCCATCCTCTCCAATGTCCATCATCTTGTGTCCATGCAGACATATAAAGACCTATATGCCAAATTGGATGGAAGAAGTTATTTGGACTGTCTAATATATTAAAAAGGAGAGAAAATTACACTGGTTTAAAATGGCATAGCACACAGCCAGGTGAAGGGAGGGTTACAGAAGGTTTTGAAGTGGATTGAGGGAGTCTGCAAGATGGTTTGAGTACTGATAGCTTTTGGGTGGACTCCCATGTGCCTTGAGATACTAACAAGTTTTACTGTTCCAACTTCCAAATTGTATCATATCCCTGAGACTTGTAGCTATGCCAGAACAGCCTGGAGCAAATCCTAAAATTTCCCCAGAAGGGTGTAAACTCTGCCACAGACATTATTACTAGTGCCTATGGCTGAGAGATCAACGGAATGAGTAAAATTTAGTTTATTGTTTAAGGAGCTTGTCTAATGTTCATTTATGACACCTCTAGGACTGTTTTGTTTTATTAAGTGGCCTGGGGATGCTACTTTGAATACCTTTCCCAATGGAACAAATATGCTGATGAAGAAAATATTATGACAATAACTTATGAAGAGCTAAAAGAGGTGAGGTTATCAATAATTACAAATATTTTATACTTGAAGAAGCATTTTTTCCTAACCCAGTTCATCATTATATTCATGTAGAGTATTCAAACTGCATAGGATAGATTCTTGTTTGAAGTAAAGAAGAGGTAAAATGCAAACTCAAAAACCTTCTAAAATTTTGCTTGAGCAAATTAATTTTTTTTTTTTAGCTGTGATATAAGTTCAAAAAATTGTAAATCAAAATCCCCACAAATTTTTTGGGAGAAGCTTTTATGCATTCAACAGTGTAGCTTTTGTTCAGCTGTAAATCATGCACAGTCTTTTGTAATCTATAGGGACACAGCTCATATCCCCACCAAAATAATTATGGAGAAGAGAAACACTATGTCTTCCTCTAGTCCCCCTGAGCTCTGTGAATATCCCATACATATATCGAGCAGAGAGGTGTTGGGAATTGTAACCACCTTGGAAAGCAGTGTAATTTGGTTGAATGTCACGTGGTGTGTTACATTCTTCTTTCCAGAATCGTCTCCTGGGTGTGAAAAAGATAGCTGCTTTCTTAGAGATTTCACTGACTGAGGAAGAGCTTCAGCTTGTGGTAGAGAGGAGCAGCTTTCAGGCAATGAAGAAGAACTCTCAGAAGACCCATGGGGCAATCGGCGACATTCTCTTTCGCAAAGGTAGGAAACTGCAAGTGGTTCAGAGGTAGGAATGTCACCTTCTCAAGAACTTGGGTCTTTCTTAGCTTCTTTTTTTTGCACACATGTTATGATTGCAAGTTAGTCTCAAGCAGGTGATCACTATTTCACTTGAGAAAGCTTTTCAAGGAGCACTGGTGAGGAAGATACCCAGCAAGGTGCTGACACCAGAGCAAATTTTATAGGCCCACAAATGTCTGTCAGGAAGGAGGAAGTGTCCTGTATCTGAACTCCTCCTCTGTGCCTAGATCACCGATTGTTTAGCCATCCGAGGCTTATCCGAGCAGGCAGCACTGGGCCAAACTCGACCTGAGTGGCACGATCACACTTTTTAGGAGAGCCACTGCCAAACCCCTGAGAAATGGAAAGGCTACCCTGGCTGTCAATCTATTGATGCACTTTACGTTCAAGAAGTCAGTAGATAAAAACTCTTACTGCCAAAGGAGCAGAAATGCAGCTCTGCCTCCTGCGAGATAACTCTTAATCAGTTCTTCATGATCTTTCCCTTTATCAGTCATAACTGACTGGAGTGGAGAGCTGGAGGGAACCAGGACTTCAGGCTGTC